AAATGGAACTTCAAATGGCAATGCTTTGCATTACATTTCTAACGCAGATCATCCCAAATTTTCACACAATATGAAATACTGTATTTTTAGGTATACTCTGCTCTGAGCTATTAGAGTAATGAATATCAGTTCATGCTTGCAAGTACAGGGCCTTGTGCATGGCAGCTCTTCAACAAATATTTATTGAATATATAAGCACATCTTTCATAGAAAAATCTATTTTGGGTTATACTAATAACTGATCATAATACAGCCTCTATCATCTCTCATTTTGACAGCCAACATCACTAGTAATTTCAGTCCCAATGCAATAAATTTGAGAGAATATAGTAACGTACTTGTGATGTTTGAATTTTATGGTGTTGAATATAATGAATGCAATAATTCAAATAATATAGAATAAAGTAAAGCTTGAATAACTTTAAAATATTTTTGAATTACTTTTAAATTACAATAAAAATGGATTTATAGTTGGTATCGGCACAAAAGTAGGTGTATAATAACTGTATATTGACTGAATAAATAGCTGTTTATTATACGTTTGTGGATAATGATAACTAAAATTAGACAACACAGCTTTGTCTAGTAAACTTCCCCAAGTTACTAATGTTTTACTCTCTTGGTATACATAAAAAAGTGAAAATAGCTGCTCTGTAACATGCAAAGTGTTGTACAAAGGCAGATGTCAGGACAAATGATTTAGAATATTGTTTCAATCTTTAACAGGTAAACTGAGTCACCTACATAAGGATGACTTGATAGTATCCTATTCTCCTACTTAAACGGAGGATCCCGGGATTTAAAGGGATGAAAAGTTATCTTCTTCTCTGAAGGTATGGAACAGTGAGTTGGGTGTTCACGGTTTGTGGCCATGAAGGGAAAATGCCACCAAGAGAAGAGAGGTTGCTGGTATTGTTGAATAGAATGAGCCTGTTCCAGGCACTTTGTGATTTTTTTATTGCACATTTGGTGTTTGCAGCAATAGGGAATTAGATTTTTAAATATAATCTGCTACTTGGTTAACGCAGGACCCTGGCCAGGTCCATAAGGGCCTCAGCCCTCCTACCCAGCAACCCCTGCGCCATGCACACTGGCTACGCCCAGCCCCCACTGCACTGAGGCCGACTCCGCCTTCCCCATTTGTGCAGAGTGCACACCCAAGGACATGCGCAGAGGGATGAGCTCATGTCTAGTCATGGCGGAGCTGCATTCTGAGCCCAGGAAAGCACTGCTAGGGCCCCCCTCTGATCACTGCTACACGCGCCTGCCAGTGCAGTTCCTATTGTTCCCATTTTGCAGAGGAGGAAACTGAAGGCCAGAGAGCCAGTGGATGGACGCACAGCCGCATCTGTGCCTCAGCCCCACCTTAATCTCAGTGCTGCTCCAGGACCAACCGAGAGGGGCTCTCACCCCCATGCCACAGAGCAAGGACAAAAGGAGAGGTCCTCTCTGCACAGGGCAAGGTGGGGAAAGGAAAATCCTGTCCTGACTGACAATTCCTTTGTGTGCCCCACTGGAGTATTCCCTGGATCCCAGTTAGAAGAAGTGAGAGCAATTTCCCAGTGTTAACATATAACTTTAGGCCTCAGCTAACTTTATGGGAAACTGTATATAATTATCATCGCACAGTATAGATTCATTCATTTTTAGGGAATTTTTCTGCTGAAGATCTCTTCGCAGATCCGTCACGTTCGAGTCATCAAAATTCTGAGCGGGCAGCCGAGGGAGGTGGCGTTCTACTGAGCGGTGGCGCCCAAGGCGGGGTTTGCCAGAGCAGCAGTGGCAGTTGACGTGCAAATTCTCAACCCTGCCCCAGACCACCTGAATCAGAACTCTGGGGTGGGGCCCAGTAAAAAATGCTTTAACAAGCCCTTTGGGGTGACTTGATGCCTGCTCAAATGTGAGAAACGCTCTCTTAGTTGACGGCGCCTTTTCGTATGTAATATATCATTCCCGCCTGAATGTGCTCCATGATAAAGCCACACTCCCAGCGCTGTGTGAAGAATGATGGAGGCAGGGGGGAGAGTCCTGTCACCCTCCGGAAAGATGGCATGTCCCTCTACCCATCTTCCCCACTGCTTTGCTGGCATGAGGGCGACAGTCATTTATTTCCCAGGCTTTAATACCTCTGGGAATCTCTTTGAAAAATACTTTGGGGAATAACAAACAAAAATGATCAAATTATGAGTACAAAATCAGGTAACAAATACTGATGTAATGATTATATTGTTTTTAAAAAGTTTCAGATGAACGGGAAGATGGCTAAAATTATCCCACCTTTAAGACCTGAAGAAGTAAATATTGAATTTTTTAAATTAGTTGATATGAAAAAATATCTTTTAAAATATGAAAACCTAAGCATTCTTATTTTCTTACAAACTAGTTATATCCTTGAAAACAAACCTTTCCCTTTCATTCAGGATACTGGTGTTAATAACAGCTGCATCTAAATCAGGGCTCCCGAACAGCATCTTATCTTTACATGGAAGGAAGTTCACGAAGAAGGAACTGACGTTCTTCCCCAACAAGATGACAATACATTTTTGGGTTCCTTTCCCAGAAATTAGTAAATAACAAAATATCTTTCATTTTACAAAAAAGCATGTTCATAGCAAATGCTTAAATCTAATCCATATGCCACTCATATGCTTAAAAAAGGGGATGGTTTCCATGAGCCAATTTCTCCACTCATTCCGTGCCAAATAAAACAGATTTCAGCAAAAAGCTTTTACTGCCTCCGAGGGAACTCTGTTCATTCTACAGGGTATAAAGTACTATTTATTTTTCATTCAGAATTCCCAATTCTCTACTTACTGTACATTTTCCCACTCAAGCAGGCTTTATCCACTGTGGGTAAGCACGTTAAAGGCAGAAAAATGCAACATCTCTGGCTGGAAGAAATGTTTTAAATGCTGGTGCAATTCACTATCCATATTCTATTGTATTAAGAAAATGCAATTCTTATTGAACAGAAAAAAGCTTATATAATATGAAGCCTGGAATTCATACTTTTCACTGCTGAAGAAATACCTATCCCAACCAAAAGCAAAAGACATCTCCAGGGACATGTAGTTGAAAACTTATGGTCTGCATGTTATGAAAAAGTTCAGAATCTATACCAAAGCAAATTAAAGAGACACTCTGTAGACAATCGCAGGAAATAGCTTCATGCTCCATTTGCATCATTTAATCATGCAAGTATATGACAAAATGACCTACCATTTGTGCCTAAATTTCTTTTTATCAAAACACAGCTAAAATATCATGGAAAACTCAAAAAAATAAATGAGTGGCATTAGAAAATACTTAAGAGACAAAAAATATTTTCTTCTAAAATGTGTTGCATTACAGATTTTTCAGACAGATTTCTATAGATATGAATGGAAAGGTCTATAGAGGCGAACATGGCAGTCTCTGAGGTCAAGGGATAAGGAATGCTCTTAAGGAGCAGAGACAGATGACCAGAGGACCACCTTGCAGACAGAGGGACAGACAGACTGATGATCAGGCTAATGAGAAAATTAAGTGAGATTTCTTTAGTCACAGAGATCCACTACTGCAATTTCTAATCAAGATCAAGGGGCCAAACCTCAGATTCGGGAGGTACAGACTTAGTTTCTACAATATTTTAAGGAAAAGCCACTTCATGAATGAGCAAAAAATGGTTTGAACCTACATACTAGTAGGGATGTGATGCTCTCACACATTATGCAACTGGAACAGGTCATGTGGCACCAAGGAGCAGCAAGACTCAGGGAATGAAGTCCTGGGAGAGAACGAATGGGCCCTGATCATGCTTTACATAATCATTAGAGTTCATCAGTGCTGTCTCCCCAGGAAGCCCGCACTAAACTCAGCCAGACACATCTCAGCCTGATAAAGAATAATCATGCTTACCTGTACACCCGCAAGGTGGACCTGACAGCTGAGGGCATGGGTGGAGCAGCACCCTGCGGCCTGCCTTTCCTGACTGCCTTGGGGAGCTTAGCTTCTCACAGTCAAAAGCATGAGCCCACTCTGGCAGCCCAGTGTTGTCCCTGCCATGCCCCCGCCCCAGGTGGGGATAGGTTTAGAAAAATAAAATCTTCACAAAGAAGTTGCTAAAAAGAGGAGCTGCTGTCAAAAAGTAACCTACCCCTGGAAATGAAGGATTTAATATTTCACATAATGTACCAAAGGATCACAGCAGGTAGCTGAAGGGAAGAGGCCCAAATAAAAAACACCAGGGAAGCAACTCAGCTGCTAAGGACAAAAGTCTCTTCCTAGTGAACACCTATGACTTGATCACTTTCAAAGGCATTAAGTTACTCTGAATATAAACATAAAAAATGAGGCTTCTGAAATGCAGGGCCTCATGAAATAAATGTTTTAACCTATTGAAAGCAAGTTAATATGCAAAAATATTGTCAGCTGTCCTGTGAAACTGAATTCGAGCATCTGTATATGTCATGCGTCACTCTTATCCTACTAAGTTCCAGATCTCTGAAGGTACCTTTACCCCTGCACATTTCTCATTAAGTAATCATAATGATGCCCAACATTTCAGACATGTTAATCAACAAGCATTGGTCTTCAAATACTAAAAGCCCGAAAATAGTTTCCCTCTTCAATAATTGAAGCAGAGTGTCATCTCACTCTTACTTCTAAATAAATCTTAAATAGTCACCCTAAACACTCTGGTTGCTAAAGCACAAACATGAAGGATTCTAGTGTTCCCAGAGTTTGCAGGGGTCCTCAAACTACGGCCTGAGGGCCACATGTGAGGACATTTATCTGGCCAACCAGGTGTTTTTGCTGCCACTGCCTGTCCTGCTTAGCAGACAACTCGTCCCGGGCCCACAGTGCGCATGTGTGGAATGTGCACCACACTCTCCAACGGCCCTCCAGCGGTCTGAGGGACAGTGAACTGGCCCCCTGTTTAAAAAGTTTGAGGACCCCTGTAAGAGTCAACTTGGTCATTTAAAAGATGCTCTCGTCAGGACAGGTGCCTGCTGCCCTACCTTTTCCGATGCCTTGCCTTGCACAGGTGGCCCTGGGCTCGGAGGAGGAGGGGCTCGGCGTTTCTTCATCTCCGACTTCACAGACACCCCTGAGATGCTGCCCAGCGACAGGGATGGACCCAATGTAACGGAACGGGAGTGCAGGGACGGCGAGTTGGGTGTTGTTAGACAGCCCTGCCGGGGAAGAGACAGACATGGAATCCCATCAACATGACACGAATGCTGGAATATGCAGACAAAGCGCAACCCCTCCACTCAAACTTTCAATGGCATCTGTTTCTGCTGACAGGCTTGAGGGACTCGAGAACAACCTCTCCTTTCACTTTCCTGGAGAGCTGTGCAAGACTTCACCTGACAGATTCATCCGAAAGGCTTATTTTCCTAATCATGAAGGAAAGAATAGACATTTGAACCTCGAAGAAGAACACTTAGCAGTTAGAATCATTCAATACTCCTTACCCACCTGCAGGTACAAATTAGGCTCCATAAAACTTTAACCTGTCATCAGAGTGAGCTCTTAGACACTGAAGAGAAGAAGGAACAGATCAAGAAATGTGTTTTTATGGGCAGGAGACCAACAGTCTGTGCCATCTTGAGGAGTATGTCACCTGTTGCCAGGAAGAGGCTTAGGTTTCTTTTAATTTTCAGAAGTTATGAACAAGTGACTACATAGTATAAGCGATATACGTGAAGATGCCATGATCACTCATGTAGCATTTAGTGATAGATACCTAATTAGCTGAAAGAAATGCAACCCAACATTCTAATTAATTGCTCCCAAGGGGCAATTTCTATACCAAGGGGACAGACTAAAGGACACATATATTTTTTCAATCTTTTTCCCCCTAGGGTCTGCTTAATAGAATCACATGTGTGTCGGCGCAGAAAGAGCGTTTAGGGAATCGGCACTCTAATTTCAGACGGAAAACTAGATGGCACCATGCTCAGTCCCGGGCTCCTCTCCTCACCCTGGCAGGTCACTTGACAGAGCACGCGTAACCCCAGACATGGCCACACCACGCCGAGGGCCAGTGCGGTAAGAGTTCAGCCCGCAGACCCTGAAGACACTGCCTGGTTTGATTTCTGCCTTTGTCCCTTATAAGCTGCATGATCTTGGGCCAAGTTTTTAATTTTCTCTGCCTCAGTTTGTCTCCTATAAATCCAGCCTAAATAACACCCTGCATCACAACATCACTATGTGAATTAAATGGGTGGCTACCTGTAACAGAGCTTTAAGGAGCTCGTGGCACAAAGCAAGCACTGGTACATGTGGGCTGCTACGGTCACTGTGTATTTGCTTATTGACATCTTCCTCCACCATTACCACGAGAGCGCCATGGCCAGAGCTAGTCGCCCTTCTCACCTGGCTGCAGTCCCAGCCCGGCTGCGCGTGGAGGGCCCGTCAGCACGCGTGTGTGGGAAGAAAGGACGGGAGTGAGCCTGGGGCCACTCTGCTCTCATGTTGTGCATGATGTTATTTACATTACGGTTTACGTAATGGGCTTGCGGGTAAGATTTCATGTGAGCAACCGGTTCTCCATATTTAAAATAAATATATTTTTAAAAACCTATCGTATTAAGCGACAATCCAGTATTATTCTTACTCAGACACAAATTATATTATGTTCTGCCAGTGAATACTGACATTTGGTTTCCTGAGAAATTTCAAGACACAGATTTTCTTGGGCTTAATTATTAAAGCCAGAGGACAAAACACTCCACGAAGGCTGCTTTTTATGCCAGTTCCTGCTTCCCTGTGAGATGATAACCCTCAAAGACATGCAATACAGAGATCCCATAAGAAACAGGTGGGGGATGGTACAGGAAATAGCTCGACACCCAGGAAACTTGGCAACGCCTATTTAGGCCCATGGAAAAATGTAAATCACCCATCCAGCCCTTGATTTCTGCAGCCACTACACTCACTACACTATTGGCTGCGCAAATCAGCCAATACAAAATAAACCGTTCTGTATTTTCCTCTGCCTTCCATCTACCTCCATGGCAACCGTGAGGGCTCATAGAGACGGAACTCAGAGTCACTTAACGATGCAGGGTCTAGATGACTAAGTACTTGAAGCCAGAAAAGAGGCTTTGTTAATCCAAGGAGCAGAGCCGAGAAGGCGTTTCCTGGATGGCTGCTTTGCTCAAATAACCCCAGATTCGGGGGGATGTAAACCCCATCTTCACTCATCAGCAGGTCCAGAAGCACAGACACTGGGCCTTCGAGTTGCCTTCTGAGTTGCCTGAATTTCTTATCCGTAACATCTGCTGTCAGTTTGTGCACACACACGCACGCACGCACGCACACGCACACGTGCACACACGCATCACAGAGGCAGATTATAGGTGTGGCGTTCAGTGGAGAACTATACAGCTAGACCCACACCACACTGTTATCTCTGAAGCAAACACGACGTTCATGACATTCCACAACCCTGCACCCAATTGATTCTCGTCACTCCACCCTGTCTAGACATGGAACCTCCAGTTCTTCCTGCCCTCAGCCCTCACCACAACTATGCGTGCCTGGCGGTCGCTCGGCACTGCTGAGTTCACCTCCATCCTTCTAATGCCCTGAGCTTCCACGAAGCTATGCAGAACACTCTCTTAAAAGCATTTAACACTGATTTTAGGTTTTAATTCTGTAATTGTTTTGCCCTCATAAGCTTCCTGACATCTTGGATTACCTACTCCTTAAGGTAAGGGATGGGTACAGGTCTTACAGGAGGGACAGCCTCACCTTCAAAATGGGGAAAATTCCGTTTACTTCAAAGTTGTTATAAGCATTAAAAGTGGAAACTTACAGATGAAGCTAGGTGAAGCGCCTAGCATATTTCTGGCACATTAACAGTGTCTAACATGTGCTTTCCTTCTTGTCTGACAAGGATTTTTGGTAGCAATGACCTCATCAAGGCCACAATGAGATGACCCTGGACAGCAGAAAGCCGGAAACCCAAAGTGCACCCCCCGCGTGCCCCTGCCAGTCCCGGCACCCGGCATCTCCTGACCGTGCCTCTCACAATCCTAGCATCCGTGTCTCTGAACTTGACTGAGTTCTGACACATGGGCGTTGTTCACCTACAGTCTGTTAAAGTCAGCAAACACCCCTTCCCACCCCGCCCCACACTGCCGAGGATGCCGACTGCAGGTTCAATGTGCTCAGCCCACCAAATCCTCTCCGTGATCCTGCTACTCAACGGTGTTGCTCAACCTTCAACCCATGGGCAGCCAGAAAAGTTTCGCTGCCCAGAGATATTTGTGGTTTAACTCTTATACTCCTTCTGTCCCAACTTTTGGAATTTGTGCGCAGAATTTAGAAAACAATCCACAGAACAATGTGGGAGGGAAACAACATTGGTAAGGATTGGGTCCTTTAAAATACTGACTCACAGTAATATTAAAATGGAAAACCAACAGCTTAGTCCATATGGTCTGGAGTCAAAAAAGCTTGACCCTGTCCTATCGTTCCAGTGTCCTTGACTGTCTCGTGCCACAGAGTGGCACAGTTCCCGTGGAGCACGCCACTGCTGCCTGCAAGAGGGGTTGGTCTCCTGTTCCTTGACCAAACACGTCAATCTCTCTCTCTCTCTCTCTCTCTCTTTTTTTTTAAATATCAAGTCCTTTCCTTGCAGGGAAGTGAGTCATACTGTTCTCCAAAGGTTGGCACCAACATCCACAGATTTGGGCTATTACAATCTCACCAGATTTGCTCAGGAGTTATGAGGACACCCACATAAATCACTAAGAAAAAACAAAGGATAACAGAGGAAAGGGAACAAAGCATCAGAACCTTCCCTCTCAGCTTCACAGGACATCAGTCAGTGGAGTGCCAACTTCCACCATGGAAGCTGGATGTCTGCTGGATGGAAAGTCCAATGAGATGCCACCTGCCAGAGAGAGTACAAAACCCTGTATCTAGGCCGCCACACCCTTCAGAGCCAATTAATTCATTTATTACATCCAATATAAAACATCATTGATTTGAGCCAGGCACAGTAGCTCAGGCCTGCAGCCCCAGCTACTCGGAAGGCTGGGGAAGGAGGATCACTTGAGCCCAGGACTTTGAGGCTACAGTGAGCTATGATGATACAACTGCACTCCAGCCTGCGTAACAGAGAGAGATTCTGTCTTAAAAATAAATAAATAAAAGAAAAAACAATCACTGGTTTGATCCTATCATACACACATATGAAGGGGGGAGGGCAGGAAGAAAAGGAAACTAACAATATCCAGATCTGAGCATCAGCTCAAAATAAAATCAACATCATCTGCAACAACTGTTTTTGCCACAGGTTCCAATTTATACATGTGATCTCCCAGTAGGCTGGTGCATAGACTTCCACAGGCTCGGCCTTCAGAATTAGGCTTTGCCCCTAAACCAACCGAACCTTACTCAGGCACAAGCTCGTGGTAGAGCCAGCACCCAGTGGCAGAGGCATTGCTGTGATAGCTCAAGTTCCCCAGAAATCTTGATATGGCTCTCAGAGTGCTGGGTATACCCAAGATAATTCTGGAATTCTCAGGTACTGCAGGGAACAGGCTTTCTCCCTCGTTCACTGACTTATAATTGATCAGAGATCAGTACAGGATAGGAAGCTGTGACCAAAGTAGACCTTACTATTACCGTCAGCATAAACCGCGACGCTTCAGTCCCCTTTGCTTAAATGCTTCACCTGCATCTTCACGGAGCTGCTTCACAGGCACAGCCCACCACACACGCGAGGGGTCCACCGTCCACACCCACAGCAAGGGCTCGGTGCACCTGCCTGTGACGTGCTGCCGAGACAAAGGGGAGATGCTGTGCCGGAAGCCTTTCTGTTTAGGATAAATTGATTTTTAAAATAAGATGAATAGCTATTTTGTTTCCATTTCTCAAAACTGTCCATTCTGACAAATAAAACTGTCTCTTGTGAGAACAAATCACTGAACTAAGTCCAACAAAAGTCTAGCAGCTCCTTTGACAGGGCCTGTGAGGAATTCAGATGCAGATTTTTGCTTAAAGGTTATGGGAAATATTTTGGTTGCAATAAATACATTCTGAACAAGCCATCAGCAATCCTACCTGCATAGAATCTTCTCAGTTAGATCAGATACTTTAAGGATGGCATGATGTTTGGAGTTTTAATGTGAGAAAAACTGAGGCCCAAGGGGACTGACGTAGCTGCTTAGGA